AAGTTTGATAAAGGTGGGGCCCAGCTGCAACACACTTTCCCTCAACCACGAGGCCGTTTGCCGCCTTCTCTCTCGCTAAAAGTTATACATTCATTAAAAATGTAAAACAAAATAAGATCATCCAGAAAAATAAATAAATGAATAAATAGTGAGCAATCACCTGTTTTTCTTCAGAGAAACTCCCAATGTAGGCCCATTTTGCATTGTCCAAGAGAACACGCACACGAAGGGTAAGAACAAATGACCAAACATCAACAGTCCTCTGAATATTGTTATAATTTTCATTGGCCCAACTAAAGCTTTCATCCAAAGGCAAAACTTTCGGCATGTCTAAAGGAGGAAGCTTGTTAGCTTTAGAGGGAGGCAGGGCAGGACTTCTCTTAACGAGGTCTTTTCCATTAACGATACCTATGCCAGCAACATTCTTGGATGATCCATTCACAGTCTTTGGTGCGTTACTATTAGATGACGATTTTATATTTCTTATATCGGTTGTTGGTACCATTTTGCCTGCTCGGCCGTTTATGCCTACTTGGGCCGGCAACTCAGTCTGTTGTACGTTTACCTGGAATTTACGTGATTTTCTAGTTCTGACAAGGCTGTACATTTTTTTGTCTAGTTTTGAGGAATTACTGTTTGATATTGTTCCTGAGAAGCTAAGATCATCTCCAATGGAGCAATAACAGCTGGAAGAAGCAAGTATTGCTGCCATTGAGGCCATAAACAAAAAAACCTGGCAGAAAATTGTGTACAAATTTAATCTAATAAGTAAGATAAGGAGAGAGCTGGTTACAGAAAAATCTCTTGAACAGGAAGCGTAAAGAAGATGCACAAACATATCGTTTGACTCAAGTAGTTGTAAATTAGAACCATACAGGCCAATCAACTATATTATTTCTATGAAATGTTCACTCAAGTATAACATGTAAAAATCGAATGCAGTACTTAGGCGATTAGCGTAGACAAGTTTAATTCGTCGAGATGATGCAAGGTGATCAACAAATATTGATGAAACAAAACAATCAACTAATTCATCAAACAGAATCGCACAACTTAGAAGTAACAGCAAACGGCACTTGTGAGAAGAGAATATATGGCATGTACATGGAATTCATCAGAGACAGCTTCAAACTGTCAAACATCAGCAGTGTCACATTAAAGTCACGATTTTTTTATGCTCAAGAGTAGGACAGGAAAGAAAAGAACAAACATATTTGGGGGAAAAATTAAGGAAGGGCACAAACCTAAGTCCTTTTTCCTTTTGCAACTGGGAACTCGAGGCTCACTGAGTATTATTTTTTATCTTGAACCTCAACAGAAGGTTTGGAGAAGAAGATCTAAAGGGTTTGCAATTTTCTTGAATTTTATACCATGTTTAACACAAAAACAGGAAAAAGGAAAAGAAAATTGTAGATATTATTGTCAAGTGAAAACGAGCAACAGAGCAGCCACTCATCAACCACCACCACTAGTGTAGTGTGATGTGGGATTTCTTTTTTTTTTTAAAATTTATTACTCTCTCCTATTCAAAATAAGTGTCGTTTTGAGAAGTTGCACCGTTATTTTTGCCTCCAATTGGTATGTGAATTATTTTAGACGTGTGGTTTTCTTCTCCTCACATATACTTTTTCATAGTTAAAGACAAAAAAAAAAA